ACCCCGAGTCCGACTGGTTTCCCTCTATATAGATGCAGCTGCACGGTTTGCAGGTCCGGATCGAAAAAAAACCACTCGGACTCGCTGGCTCAGAGGCGAGGTGTCAAGGACTCGTTCCTCATGACTTCTGAAGTTCTGAAGTTCAAAGATGCTGAGAGTTCTGGATGGGGGGGAAGTCATGAGGAACGAGTTCTGGAGTCTGCATGAGGGATTCATTGTCGTGATGAGAATTCAAAGTGCTGAGAGTTCTGGATGTTGAAAAAGCATTCCAGAATGATTGCAGGGTCCTGCAACAAGTCAGGCCTCCAAGTCAGGGTGTTTTCACCTCTGCTTGTACATTTTTCCGCAGAGCTTGAAAGTGCCCGGGTGGAAACACGTTCGATGAATGAAGTTGTGCTCCGATTATCATGCTCTACCTGCAGTTTGTGACTCTACCTGCAGTTTGTGAGACTGTTGAAGAGACCTGTCAGATTGTTCTGGATGAATTTCATATGTCCATCGGCCAAAAAAAGAATAGATTCCAATTGCCTATACTGTAAATTTTTGTACCTGTAGTGTGAACAAAATGCAGTAGATAGATCCACGACTATGGCCCCGTCACCAGGCTTTATTTGCACTCAGTTGGTTGGGAGTGGCTGTGAATGTGTGTGTGTGTGTGTTTGTATGTTTATTGGCAGATCATGTTTCCCCTTCTTGTGCGCTTGGCTCCTCACAGCTTCCTTCCGGCAAGCCACCGGGGTGGGCGTATAGCCTTGCATGGTGGCCATGCCCTGTGTCAGCACCAAATAGTCCAGGCCACCTTCCTTTTGAATCTCATTCGCCAACTGCCGGCAGTCGGGCAGGGAAAAGGCATCCAGCTGCCGAAAGCTATAGGCCTTGGAGAGAGGACGGACGAAGGCTGAACCAGAAAAACACCATGGTTCAAGTCATGACACCCTGCAACCGATGCAACCACAATGGCAATCGGTCCGGTTTTGACGAACCTCTACTACGCATTGACCTAAATATGAAGTATAGCCGCTCTAAATGTGTCTCTGTGTGTGTGAGTCTGTGTGTGCGGGCAGTCTGAGCAGCTGTCAGGAAATGTCAGATCGCTTGAAAGCACATCTACATCATCTACTCTTCACAGCCGGCGGGAAACACTGCGTCTAGGGTCGATGTTCACCCCGGTTCACCCCTCACGCAATCATGGAAATGAGATGAAATGATATGAAATGAGGCATAGATAGTCATACTTTGCAGCAATTTGCAGAACAAAAGCACTCTCCTCACTCCTCTATACATTGCCTGCATTGCCCCACTCCTGAGAAACCATATTTATAAGCAACAAAAAACACAGGTGGTTCCCTGCGGATGTTGAAAAGATTGGGATCATCATGAAAAAATTACTTTTTGAGGCTCCTTCTTTTGATGACTCCGAGGATTCCGAGGATTCCGATGGCTCGAATTGTTCATGACTTTCTTTCTCGATTTGGTCTGCTTGGAGCTGCATCCACTTCACCCTGTCGCCCCCCCCCACCTTCTCCTCACACTCCGCGCCCTGCTCCGCCGCCTTTTCGGCGGCCCGCCGCCGCAGCTCCTCCACCAGCGCCTGGCCACGGTCCGGCGAGCGGCCGACCTCAGCGCGCCGCGACTTGGGCAAGTCCAACAACCAACAGCATTAGAATTAGAACTATACAATAAATCCAAAACAGGTCTGTCTTTCTAGAACTCAACACCTATCCTCTGGTTCGCCGACCTCTGATTGTTTAGCTTGCAAACCAAACTTGCTCTTGCACGTGGTGCGGATATGGCACCCTCGGAAAGGAATTCATCGCATGTTCGGTGAAACCGAATCCTGCGATGGAAGGTCCAAGGATTGTCTAGAGTCTATAGGTACTGACTGGCTGACTGTCCTGGACATCCTCAAAAGAGTACTCCAACAGTGAAACCCAAACTTGTCCTACTCGTAAACACCTGAAACTTTATAGCAACCACAGTATATATTCCCTCCCTCCAACAAAATATGGAAGTGATAAGAAAACTGAATGTACTAAAAAAAATAAAAGCAACTTTGCTTTCCGATGCCAACTCTTTGTCGGATAGCGGATGACACGACCGGTATTATTGCTGGCCTTTGTTACTGATTGTTTGACCACTGGAATGTATGCAGTTTGAGGCCCAAATGCCTGGCCAAACGCCTAAAGAAAAATGAAGTATATACATGTGTTTTGCTTGGAAAGTCTGACCACATCCTCGTCCGCCCCACCAGTGCCACCTTGCTGCCACCATGACTCCGCAGCCCGCTTCCGCCAGTCGCAAGGCCAAGCCTTGGCCGATACCACTGGTGGCGCCCACCACCACAGCACGGCGCGGGCTCAGCCAAACGTCCTCCAAGACGCGGCGCGTGCAGGACTCGCGTTTCGAAAAAGGGCCGTGTTGGGGGTACTAGAGTAACCCATGCGTAGACGACCTCCTTCCCATGGGTCCCATGACACTGACTCAAAACGACTTGAAGCCCCCAAAAAAAATCTTCCTGAAGACCATTGAGTAGTTTACAATATATTGAATATCCCTGGGAGTCAAAGACTATAAAAAGAATGGTCTTTAGGGGACCTGAAAGGGAACGTTTCCTTTACTTCAGCCGGTCAAAATATAGTCTTTGGACTTCTAGGGTATGATTGAATCTGTAAGAATCCCAGAGGCCCCATCCTGCGAGGCCGCCTGCGCCTGTGCCAAGCGGCTGGAGCTCCTGGGTCGGCTCGCGAACGGCTCGCGCAAAGAAAGCTCGGTGGGGGGTTGGTGTCGAAAAAAGAGTACACTCACAGAAGGGAATTGATCGAATTCTGGTAAAGAATTGATAGAGTTGATCGAATTTAGGATGCGATTGATCGAATTTCATCGACACCCCCCTTGGAGAATCCTGGGTTCATGTTCCGGCGGCTCTGTTCGTCGAACGGCTCGAAGCGTTCCAGCGTTTCTGGCACAGAAAGGACTCACGAATGCTGCTACCACGAAGTGTTTCCAGGGGATGGGCGAGGAAAGACGTGCGAGCAGTGCCACAAGTGCTCGGTTGCAAGACTAAGAGCTCATCTATGGGTCATGCTACTGACAAAGCTTTACCTCCCTTCACCTTTCTGTATAGTGCACATTAGTGCACCAAACTAAAACTTCAAGGTTGAGAAGAACACCCAAGGTTGACCTGTGCATATCCAGTACCTGCGGTACCTACCCACTCCACACCTCATCTCGTGGTTCTACCGATTCGACCAGGTTGGGTGGTTCATCAAGCCGTGAACTAAAAATGCCGCTCAGTCGTGCGCGCGTTCACCGCCAATCTATGGCCAAGAAAAGAGACCTGGCTGCCCAAAGGTGCAAAAGGTCATGAAACACCTGCCACTGACTGACATGGTTCCATTCCGAACTCTTCTTCTGCCGTGCCCTTGCGAATCAGTCCTTTGCCAGGAGTACCATGCCAGCGCCCCACCCGACGCCAGCCCAAGCCCCCCGATCCGCAGTGCCGGCCGCACTCGGCCCACGAGGGTTGTCATGGCGGGCACCCACCAAGATGTCTGTGAGAATTCTTGCTACTCGGTGGTAGTAAGGCCTCCACTCTAGTAGCGATGGCCTCCAACCTAGTAGCTTCTTGCTGCTAGTAAGAAAGGATGAAAGGACCCACCAATATGTCTGTGGGTCAAAAGCAGGATACCGACCAGTTGACCCACTGGAAGGTCAAGCAAGCTACATGGACCAGGGCTCCATAAATTGTCTTGTGGAGGTTTCCTGGGATGCACAAACCAAGCTGCTAGTCACAAACAAAACAATACCCTAATTCCAATGAGTCCAATGATTTTTGCCCCAAGAGGAATCATAAAGGGCTCCTTTGCCAGGAGGTACCACATAACCAAGAAAGAGGCTTCCGAAACTGCTACGCTGTCGCAATGGGCCGAGAGATCGATCAGAGCGAGCAAGCGACCCCTTCCGCGGACCATCCGCCGCGCCGGCGCCTCGCATCGATCGATGCACATCGATCCATCCGTTCCGTCGGCCCAATCGGAACACTGCACCCTGGTCTTCTCTTTGGAGGCACTGAAAACAGAAAAAGGGGGCCAACAGATCAGCAGCTTCCTCTGGCGTGTCTCCTTATCAACACGCTGGGCCTGAGATCAGGAATGATAAAATGAAAGAAATCATCTGGCTTCACCTGTCGCTCCTTTATATATACAATCAAAGGCTGGGTCCGAGTTGAGCCAGATCTCAACCGATCTTGCCACCAAGTCCCAGGCCGACGTAGAGGGGCCCGGGTCCATATCATAAGGGACGGGTTGCGTGGACTGTTGCTTGGTGGGTGGATATCCCTCAGCTGTACCCTAATTTGCAAGAGTGACACTCTCGTAGTGAGCAGGAGGGCAATGTGTGTCTGGTAAATGCAGGGGTTCACAAAAAACGCATACTGGAATAAGCTGTAGATGATATGTTCAATGCATGGTATTGCTTTGTCCAGTAGCAGCGAGTTGAGGCACATGATCTTGCATCAGGATTTTGGTTGACAGCAAAGAAACATGTGTGAATGTTTGCTTCAAGATTCAAGGCCCTTCATACTCCCTCCCAGTTGCTTTCAACTGAGCCAATTGAATCATGGCCAGTCCCGCACAACAGAAGCCACCATGGGACCAGAAACATGTTCCATGAAGAGAAACCAGCGATGGTTGTGTTCCAGGCGTGGGTGTTGTGCGCATCCAAGAGACAGCAAAACAGAAGTACATAGGGTCACCTGGACATGACCTGGTACAATTGTGTGCGTCATGCACCCCAATGGCCCCAATCATCATTATGTAAAATTAGAATGTCTAAGAAACGGATGGGCCAAAACATGCCAAAACTCATTGTACCACTCATGGCCAGACAAGACACGGATCCTTAGAGGCATTCTACTCAGTGTGTTAGGACCTTCAATCTGGATGTCTCCGGTTTCATTCTTTCCAACCACCAGTCTGACCGGCGCTGGAGCACGCTCCGTCCTCTGCGGCAATCTGTGCCAAAGGAGCGCTGATGTCCTAGACGGTGCGAGGACCGGGGGAGTTGACCTGGGGGTGGTTCAAAGCAGGATCGGTACCCACCGAGAAAAAAGAGGTCCAACAAACTCCTGCGTACAACCTTCATCCCTCAAACACCGCCTTCACAGGTCGCTCGTAGAGCAGAACACGTCCTGAACGATGCCACACCGGGAGCCCCGACGGAGGCCACCGCGAAGCCACCGGCCTCCTTCACGTGAGGCCTTACATCGGAGCCGCAGGCCGCACAGTAGGGCCATCCTTTTTCTGCCAGGGGGATGGCGGCGGCGGCCCGCCGCGCGGTGTTTTTGTTTTTCTTTTAGGGCGCTTGCTCGTGCTTTGGTAGATCCACTGCCATTTTTGGGGGGGTGTCTTCTTCCGTAGATGTCGGTCGCCTCCCAAACTCTGACCCAGAAGTGGCGGCGAAAACCCGCGAAACTCCTGCGAGGATCCCCTTAAGAAAATATCAACAATAGAAGCCGCAAAGGAGGAAACCTCTGTTGGACCGCTGCGGTTCGGTGTGTTGGACGGCTCCGGTTTGGTGCCACGATTTCCTCATCCCGAAAACAGTCAGTGGAATGAGGAGCATCCAGACCCACAAAAGAACCGTGGTACTGCCGATGGCACGGTGGAGGGTGGTCGGCTCAAAAAACAAGGTTCCCCGCACCAAAGACACCTCACACACAGTTAGAAGCCCTTCGACTTGGGGTGTCCACAGAGGGCCCTCGCTTGGGGTGTCCACAGAGGGCCCTCGATCTGAATCATATAGGGTTAGTCTACGGATGAGAACACCAAAACATACATACTGTACATACTGCGCACCCGTCCACCCACATCCAGGCCCGTCTTTTTGACCCAATCAAGGTCGACTCAGGTGTTGTTCTTTTTCTTTTCCGATGGTTCATGCAAGTTAAGATGTGCCTGTTTCTGCAACACTTGCCAAAAATTCAACAAACAACTACAAACCCGCTGATATCAAAATGATGATACATCTGACACATGACGATGGAAAAAAAAAATAACTGTTGGTGTATGTTAGTTCTGCTAATTGGTGAAGTCTTCTTTCTTGGATGAGACACACACCATGCAGCTGTGGAGAAGCCCACGTTGCTCTTGTTTTCGAACTTTCTCGGGCGGCCCCTCACAGACCGGACCGGAGGGGGCCCTGGCAGGTTCTTTCCATTGCCTGGGCAGGGAAGGCCACAGGGTGGGCTATGCCAATGAGGAGGTCGTCACGTGACCTTCAGGGTTCAAATGAGCAGGGTGTTTTGGTTCAACAGCAGGGTGTTTGTTCAATGCCTCGGTACATTATTTTGATTGCACTTCAATTGGCTATGAGCAAGATGTCAAACTAGTTGAGGTGTCAAAGCTAAACGAAGCAAGGCCTAACCTGGACCACCAAATCTCAAAAAAATGCGACGTGTGGTACCTTGGGCTGAGAAGGTGAATCGGTTCACATTTACAGTATATAGGTACTGTAGGCTCGACCCGTAAAGCCACCCATGTGACCGTGCTAGCTTCCAGATGTGACCTTGGCAAGTTCCTTTTTCAAGCTGCAGGAGGAAATTATGCTTTTTTGATCTGCTATATATTTTCTTGAAGCTACAGTGGTAGGTTGCAGAGTATAAGCAACTATATTGTTGAGAGATGCCTGACTTCGTAGCTAAAGTTTTCTGACATGACTCGGTGCCACACGGTGGCTCTGTTGCTTTATTGATCCGATGCTTTTTTGATATGGCAGTGGTAGTTTCGTGCAGTTGTTGCGTGCGTGTGTGTTCCTTTAAGTTGAAGTTTCCTGACTTGGCAGTTTTCCTCCAAAGCTGTCTGATATTGTGACACGGACATGCACCACACATCAACGAACGTTGCTTTCCAGTTTCCAGACATCAACGAACGTGTCCGACGCCTCGCATGTCCCGGCACCCCACCACTTCGACTCCTTGTGCGTCCAGGGATCCCGGGCCACAACCAAGGTCCGCTACCAACGAATGCCGCGGCAAGGACCGCACAAAGGCCTCGCCGTTGTCCGCGGCGTATGTCGCGGCGTAGGGCCGGGCGCCATGTCGCCATGTCTGGAAGGAAGTCGGACCAAGGCGATCCGAAGTTGGAGAATCTGGAAATCCCGTGGAGGAATACATCCAATTATAGATAGACACTGGACTCAAAAATGGAAACTGAGTGGCGGAAATGTCACTTGTAGAGGAAGTTCTGCTCTTGCTCTTAGCTGTCCTTTGCTTTGGAGGAATGAGTGTGACATAGTATGCCTCTGTACAGTGAGGAGTCCTGACGCAGCTGGTGAATCCGCTCAGCCCTCCAGGGATCTGAGCTCAGCAGAGCTCCTGTTGGGTCAAACCTCCTACATCAAGGCAGTGCTGTTGGGTGCACACTCCCTGGAACAATATGGAACGTAGATGGCATGGTGCGATTGTTTCAGATGACGACATCCGGTTATGCCAAACAGGTGGTGAACAGCACTTCCACTTCCATGTCCGGTGCCTAGGTCCGGTATCAAAATACGCAGCCAAAACCCTTCGGTCCATTTGGCGAAGCACAAAAAGAAATGTAAGAGAGTACAGGGATGGGTCAAACCTTATTTGGCTGCATTTGGGCGGTATTTTCAAAATCCTTTCTTTTGATACCAGCGATTTGGGCAAAACGTGCAGTGAATCCTGAATCCTGCACTTACTTCAGCCCGTCGACCCTTTGCAGAGCTACATCCCGCATATAATCTATACTATACAACAATGATACTGATATACTATACAACAACAATGATACTGATACTAACAATAATCAATCATCATGTTACGCAGTAACCATCAGCATCCTGAAAGCATCACCCTTTTTTCGCCACCGTTGATCCGACCGGCCTCGACTCTGGGCCAGGCCTTGTATCTCCTGGGACGGGGTCGTTTCGCCGAGCCGAGAGGGAAACACCCCGTGACACACATGGGAAATACCTTGGAAGACGAGGTGTACTTCTAGAGAGTCAATGCGAAAACAAGCCGGTTTGGTGTTTTTTCTTTTTATCTTTATTTTTCGGAACTGGAGAAGAGATGACAGGAACCTGAGGAAGAGAAGGTGCTCCCGTCTCCGTCTCCCTGTTGCCAGTCCAAGTTGAAGGAATAGTCCAGGAAACATGGATTTTAGTCAGAGGTCCCTTTGAGGAGGCCAACTGGTTTCAAAGACAGGAGCCTGTCTTGCTTACCGTCATCTCAATACTTCTCATCCTGCAGCAAAGCATCCTAAACCTCAGTGCCTTACATCCCTTACATCGCGACTCTCCCCAAAACCCAATCAAGGTCTTTCAAGATGGCCAAGCAAAAAGAAAAAGCAACACTCCAAAAGCAGCGGATTCATCACAACATCTCCCACCACCAGTGATGGCGGAAGAAATGGCGCCGGGCCCCCGGGCGTATGATTCCAATGGCTGGCGATGGCGTCGTAGACCTTGTGGACGTTCTCCGCCTGAATCCCGGCACTGGGGGCGACCGTTGTCCTCCGAATCCGTGGGGAAAACGGGGCATGGACCCAGCTGGAACCGCTGGGAAACGCCAAAAGCCATGTGGAGTTGAAAAGGACCCTGCCTGGAACCCCAAAAGCCCCACCCAAATCCATCGTTCTTCAGGTCGCGGCAATTCTGAAAAAAAGAAAACACCACTTTTGCAGAGCAGCTGCAGCTGCCAGTATATGTTCAGCATTGTTCAGCTACTTTTTGCTCGTTGAGGCACGTCCAAAGGAGAGAAAAAGTGTCGCCCCCCAACAGAAAAAGAGGAAGACACGCACCGCGCAGGCCCCAAAAAGTACTCAAAAGACATCTTTGGCGACCCGCTTGATCCGCGGCCGACACGCTTGCGCCAGGCGAAAGCTCTGGGCCAGCAAAAATCTCGCATGGAACTGGAAAAATGCCAGTTCTGTGGAGCCAAGTTCTTTTTCAACAGGGTCGGGTTTCGTCTGCATGGTATCTTGCTCCAACGAGTTCCCTCCAGCAAGTGACCAACGGCGCGGGCTGAAGAACGAGTTGTGGGCGGCCTTCAATTTCAACGGCCAGGCCGACTACCAGCGGTTGTGGATCCGGTTGATGAAAGAAATTCAACCAAACAAATGGATTTGTATTGTAATAGGTAAGACCTCCATACCGGGTTCAAATCCATGTGTCCAGTTCATGTCGCAGGAGGCTTATCTTTTTCGGGCGTCCTTCTTGACATACACCTACAGCTTGTACAGCCACTTCTTTTCAGCTTGTACATGTCCATGTCCATGTCTTTCTGCTCCCTGCTGGGCCCAGGCTTTCGGCCTCGATGGCAGGGGTCTTCAGGACATTCTCCGACTCCTCCGGTGCCACCTGCGGCGCGCGCCCCTGCGGTGCCGAGCTGCTCGGCGCGGTGGGTGGAAGACCTCCTTCTGTTGTGAAGCCATCCCAGAACTGGAGGAAATCATAGAAAACCGGGCCATGCCTCCCAGAATGCTCGCCATCCCAGAATCTGGAGTGAACACGCGGAAGCCCCGTGCCCGTTCCAATAAGAGCCCGTTCAGCACCCAACATGCTCAGCATCCTGTGGTGATCAAGGAGTCAAGCCACATGGAAATGTGCCAACCAGAATTGTTGGGACAACCAGAATGTGCTTCAAATCCTGAATTGTTGGGACCCTGAATGCAAAGGAATCAAAACACAGAAGTCCACTCCGTCATCTGAAAAGTGGCACCCATCAGCAATGATCATATGAGTTTTGGTCTACTAAGTACACACATATATATATAATACTATAAGTCATGTAAAAATATAAAAGATACAAACAATCTCTTCCAACAGCAACCATGATCTCTGGCCCACACCTCCACCGCTGTGGTCTTCTGCAAAGGGCCCTTAAGCTCCTGTGGAGAAAACGGTCTGTCTGAAACCGCCGGAGGATGTGTTCGACGACTCGATCTCTCATGGTCTTGAGTTGACGAATTCCTTATAGTTCCTTATGATTTGGAACCGGTCTCCCAGACCGACCTACCAGGAGACATCGGGGTGCGTGTCGAAAGCCACACCCAGCTCCTGAGTCAATGGTATGTCAATGCGAATCCAAACCAAAGAAGTTCCGCTTCATGAAGGTCCAGGGGGTCCTAGAGGTCCTGAATCCATGAATCCATGAAGGTCCAGTTCATGAAACAAGAGGTCCTAGAGGTCCAGGGGCAAGATATTCCCCTGTTGTTTGAGGAGCTATGGTTCTTTCTTGACTACCACAGGCAGTTGGATGGGCAACCACAAACACAAAAACACCCATCAAATTCCGCCACCAAGGATACCAAATGGCTGGTAGACTCGCACTGCAGGATTAGACTGACCATGGGCTTTTCAGATGAAGTCCCCACAACCTGCGATCACCTGACCTGTCCAAGAGTGGGTCCCCACAACCGTCTGGAGCTTCAAGACTCCACGGCTTCTCTTCATGGACTCGAAATGACTTCGACTGGTTCGACTGGACTCGAGTCCGACACCGGAGGGTGGAAAGGCCAGCACCTTTTGGCCAAGGTGGGCGGTCTCCAACCGAAGTCGGAGCACTACGAGGTCTAAGTCTATTGTGAAAGAAGTCGTGGCGTCTAAGCGTGAAAGAAATCGCGGCGTCGGCGGGGTTCTAACATTCAAGATGAACATTTCTCAAGAAGTGGGCTTCTGATGTCCCTAGAAAGGCGCAAATAGATACACAGGAGTCAGGAGGGAGTGAGTGTTTAATAGGTTGGTTGGTTTGTTGATTGAGTAGAGTGATGGATTTATAGACTAGAGCGCAAATGTCAATAGATTTTTTAGATATTGTCGGACAAAATGCTTGTAGGTAATATATATCAGAATCACCAACTCACCTCAACAAGAACAGACCTGGGGCATCACCCCCAGAAAGCGGAACGTCTTGTCTGACATGCACGGTCACTAGTAGTAACCAGGAGCATTTGGGTTAAGAAAAATATTTCTATGCATATAGTTTAATATATGTATACATTATTATATATATCCCTCCATGGTAGATATTTTTCCATGGTAGATATTTTTCTTGATGGTTCCCTATTCCCCCACCAATAGAAGTCGTCCTACACACGTGGCCCTTTTGGCTTAAGCCTCTTTGAGAGCTCAAAATCCCCTGCCGATACCGCGGGCGAAGCAGGTGAGACGGGAGAGGACTGCAGCTGAGACGGCGAATCTCGCGTCCCAAGACCGGAAAGTGGCACCAAAAACTCCTGATGGTTAGAGTGTGTCAAAACATCGCTTTTTCTCAGATGCCACACGCTTGAGAGAAAACTCTGGACCTTGGCTGGTTGTTCAGAAGCTAAACGGACGGTTTTCCAAAATACATTGCTGGGGTCATGCACAAGAATGGCCCTTCACCAATACAAAGCATGTTCCTTTCCCACTGGTGGCCGGTTGGCTGCGCCAAGCGCACCGCCGAAAACGTCATAGTGACGAAAGCAGCGCGGTTCACGGATGATGCTTGGTGCCTTGATAGAACTTCCTCAGATGGACTTGAAGTTTACGGAGGCCGACTGATTCGGAGGAAACTCCATTGCACATCCGTCAAAACAAAACACCTTGCAGTAGATGTGACTGATTCGGAATCTATTTGTCATTGGGTTCCAGAATATCCGGGAGGGAACAAAAAGGAGTGTGCGTAGCTGGTCCGGGAACCAAGAGTTTTGGAACCGCTGCGGTGTTGGAAAATGCCTCGTCCTCTGCTTGTTGATAGTGATGTGTGATTGTTTAAGGGTCTGTACCTCTTGAAGCGCAACAAGCGTGGCCAAAATCATGGCCGTAGACCAAGGGACGTGTGCCTCTTATCTCATTGCTTGATTGTCATGCAAGGAAACAGGAAGAATTAACATCAGTCAGTTGCGCTGAAGCCTGGAGAAGTTCTTGGATCAGTCACCTACTTCCTGAAGCGAGAAAATGACCGTAAATGTTAGATCAGTAGTGGTATTATTATGCCGTTCTGATCGTTGGCGTGTGCTATCAGGAAATCCTGCAGGAAAGCTAGACCATAAAATCAAGGTTTTCCTGCTGATTGCACCGTTGAAAAAAGGGCAACAAGGAATCCATAAAGCTTCGTTTGGCAATCTGGTTGTATCCAAGCACAAGTGCAACTCTCTGCATTGAGCCAGGCATCCATTTGTTGAAGTCACCTCAGATGTCTCAAACCTTTGTGAGTGACATACAGCTCTCTCCGGGCCAAAGTGGATGCAGGTCAAAATCTCAGGGGCACTTGGCACTTTGTTTGAAAAAAGAAGTTACTTCACTGAGTGGTCCCCACCGTGACACTTCAATCATGTGTATGGTGAGGAGCATGTTGCCATGGTCGTGAGTTTTGTGGTTCTCGACTGTGGGTCCTCGGGCTGTGTGTTGTGGTTGTGTGTTGTGGCTGTGTGCTGCGGTTGTGTGTTGTGGTTGTGTGCTGCGGTTGTGTGTGGTGGATGTGTCTTTGTGGTTGTGTGCTGTGGGTGCGTCTTTGTGGTGCTTGTGATTGTGTGTTTGTGGCTGTGTTTGTGGTTGTGTGTTGGTTGAGGTCCGGCAGTGTGCTCGGGAGCTGGCGGTTGAGGTCCGGTGGGGAACACTGCCAGCCGGAGCTCGCGGTTGATGGTCCGGCGGAGGAGGAGAAGGAGAGGAGGAGGAGGAGGAGGAGGAGGAGGCCGCGGAGGCGGGCAGCAGCTGACATAAAATCTAACAACCCTCACCTGACAGGTACAGAACAAGCAACAACAAGCAACAACAAGCAACAACAACAACAACAAGTCCAATCCAAATCCACCGGAAAACATCGAAAGTTCCCAACCATCCCCCCGATGGTTAATCCTCCACCCATCAAGTATATGTCCGTCAGGCAACTCGTCCGACGAGTCCTCTCCAAGTGGCATTCAGGAGCCTCGATGGTCGGGTCGGTTGGATAGGTCTTATCAAACCTCAGAAGGGCAAGGTCTCAAAACAAAGCTTTCTCAGAGCCTCCCCAAAAGCCTTCCTGGTTCAGATCCCCAAAATGTTGAACGGAATAAAACCACCATGCTCAGAAGCATCAGAATAGAACACTGCCCATACGAGACCTGATCTCAAAACTCAATAAGCTTTTAAAAAATGCACAAGTTTACATGGCGGTTTACTTTGGGGATACTGTAGGGATCCTTCATAGATCGGTGTCCATCGTTAGATCCAAGTCCCATGTACCATGCGCACATCTCCAATTCTGCAAGGGATTTGCAGGTCCAAGTGTCCTTCAGCAACCAAGCTGGACTGCCAATATCAACATCCACGTGTTGAGGTTTTTGAACCGGTGTATACAGACCCCCAAATAGATAGTGGAACCGGTGTCCAATACACGGTAAAAATGGGGGTCTACTTGTCTATCTTAATTTCAGGGTCTATGGACCGTGCCGCACCGTGTCAAGCCGCCAAGGTCGACGCGCCCCGAGATCCGATGGGTTTCCGTTCAGTGTGGGATGGAAGACGGTGAGACAACTGATCTCATGTCGTCACATCATGTGTACTAAGAGAATCAGGATGAAGAGTACTTGATCGTTGGAGGATCCAAATGTTCGAAATCCTGGCCCAACTTGCCGTAACTTTCATTCCTTCCTTCAGGATGCCGTAACGTACCTTTCCGGCTCGTGGCCGGATGCCGTAACGCCGCTTCGGCAGCGGTTTCTTGAAGCAAGACGCAATTCCAAAAGCTTGGCCGTGCGCCACTCATCCAACACGCTGTCAAACCTCCCAGGACGCCGAGCCGAGCCGTTGGGCACGGGGCGTCGGACCACGGTCGCTCGGCGCGGTGTCGGGCCAGGCAGGCCCATGTCTAGACCGGGGCCAGAAAGGCCCAGGTCAACACGAGTCCTGTTGATATCTTTGCCCAAGTCTTGCCAAAACTGGATGCATGTCGTAACAGGACCATTCCCGAATTTCATGAGATGCAGCTGCCATCTGCTTCGAACCAAGTGCAGATGGGAAGCACTATGGGAAGCTTATCGCCTCGCAACAATAACATACAATAACTTATCCAGCCAACCCCCATACTCCATGCCTCTTATCTTTACTATCTTTACTCCATGCTTCAAACATCTCTGGCATCTCCCCAACTCCCAAAAAGAAAGTGCCGAGCCTGGGAAAGCCCAGCCTCTCCCCGTGCTGTCCTCACCCTCACCCCTTCCCTTTTCACAGGGAGTACCATACGACCCCGGCGGCCACCTTCTCCTCGCTCTCGCGACCGACCCCGGCCAAGCCCACCGCAGCAGTCGCGGCCTCCCGTCCCAGAAGTTCATGTGGACGCCCTGATCCGTCATCCGATCGTACTCCTCGGTAGAGACGGCGGTCGTTCTTTGAGGCAACCGGCTCGTCGCCGCGTGCCGGTCGAACGACCCGGACCGAGGAGCAAACAGAAACGGCCAACCTCTGGTTGAAAGATAAGGAGCGTTGCACCGAGGGTCATGGGCTGTCATGGGTCTCTTCTTCTCAAGCTGGTGATGGTGCATGTTGTGTGGACAAAAAGTGGTTGGATGATACAGGGAAGAGACCTCCATCCAGTCCTTGGCCTCTCTTTTCAGAGCGATCCACTTGTGCTCCCAGCTGGGAAGGGCGCCAACGGATGAACCTGAAAAAGAACATTGGCTCGGACCCATTGAACCCATGTGTTCTTCTACTCTACTGCGAATTGAACACCTGATGGTTCACAGGGATTTCATGCTGTTTTCACGCTGGAAAGGAAAGGCCCCCGTCAGTCTGTCCAGGAGCCTCACCTCATGAGGTTTTGAGGATGAAAAACCCCTCACAAACACCGAAAAAGACTCAATGATGTGTTGGAGGTTCCCTTGTGAAACATCCAGTACCTCATGGGCCTGTCTCAAAAAAGGAAGGAGGA